AGGGAAAAGCCTCATTTTATGGTAATCGGTTACATCACCACTTTGCAATGTGAATCGCCCTATGTGTTCTAGAGTAGACACCTCTCCTAAACCGGTAAAGAGTGAGAATTCTGGTACTTTATACCCTCTAGGCCATGAATATGCTTGGTCTACCCAATCAGGATATGGCTTTGTGTAAGTCGGCCTAATGACGGGACGCACCCCAAAAGCCATCTGATCTTGTACGATTTCCATAATCTGATTCCTCAACATGACGTTGGGGTCATATGAAATTCCTACAGATTGGTTAACCGGTTGATTTGCATGAGGCCTGATGTTTGGTCCTTGATTGAAAACAAAGTTACCATGATTAGGGCCATTACCATTAGCCTGAATATCTATTCCCTCATTAACATGCGGGGTATTCTGTCCATTGTTTAGGACATTATCTCTTATATTTGGATTACCCCCCCAAGTTGGGCGTACCACTACCATTGTTCTGATTTGGCACTGTAACACCCCCTTAGTTTGAAGTAGAGGGACCAAAAAGTGGTTCTAACCCTTGATTCGAATTTAGGACTGAGGGATTATGTCTCACAATTGTCCTAATTTGAAAGTGATTTGCAAAAGGTATAACCGGTTGACATATTTGGCCTACTAACTTATTCATTGTTTCGTTCAAAGTGTTTAGTTGTTTGGCCATGTTGTCATAATGTGCATTCCCGTTTTGGGTAAATCTTTCCATCTTATGAATACTTCGAAGATTTACCTGTTCAACGACATCTTGTGTGAGTTCTCCAAGTAATGCACGCATGGTTCGAGAACTCAACTCTGTCATTGGTTCGTAACGACTGTTACTGCTGTAATTTCGTCCATCTGTTCGTGGAGAGGCATGCTGCTCCTCATATCGCTTGATCACAGACTGGATTCCTCCCTGACTTGCTGCTTCCTTATCGAATCTCTGAGACATATTGTTTCACCTTTTGTATTTTCAACACCAAACACCATTGTCCCACTGAGCGTGCCAAATTGTTTCGTGCGTGTTAGTCGCTAACAATTAAAAGGGATCAGACAATTGTGTAAGGGACAAACCTCTTGAGACAAAGTCCCAAAAAGGGGTGTTCTTTATTGGCGGTGACTTTATAATCGGAAATTAAAAACAAAATGCCTCCAAGTGGCGCAAGCACACGAGTTACTGAAAGAAGTGTTTAAATTTAAGTTAAGAAATTTAAAATTACATGTTCTCTGTTCAAGAATTTTTTGATTCGGTCCCTTTGCTCTATGTCCTTCCTTCCTTTTATACTCCCTCGATGATCTCTTTGTGATCAACTGCCTAAAAACTCTTTGTGATCAACTGCCTCCAAGTGGCGCAAGCACACGAGTTACTGAAAGAAGTGTTTAAATTTAAGTTAAGAAATTTAAAATTACATGTTCTCTGTTCAAGAATTTTTTGATTCGGTCCCTTTGCTCTATGTCCTTCCTTCCTTTTATACTCCCTCGATGATCTCTTTGTGATCAACTGTCTAAAAACTGTTGGATCGTTCTATAACTGCCCACTTTCCTCGTAATGGCCAACTTTTCATGAAACTACCTTTTCTAACTGCTGCCATTACTCTTTGTCGTTCAACCGTCTTCAATTAAGTTTCTTGAATCGTGGAACGTAATAGGGCTACTTTAATAACTGCTTTGATAACTGCACTTCTTGATAACCATAACACTTCATGTTTGCTAAAACCTTGGGCGATTCGAAGGTTTGGGCGAAAATAGAGTAACAGCTCTGGCCGACTGCATGGCACTCCATTCGCTCAGATTCTGGGCGACCTGCAAACTTGGGCGATGATGTTACCGCGTTCTTGGGCCTCCCTATTTGGGCATTCATCTTGAATTATCTGATTGGGCTTCGTTCTTTCGGCTATCTGATTTGGGGATCCTCCAATTGGGCTTCATTCCTTGGACCGTTCGATTTGGGCTGAATTTTTATGTGTCAACAAGAACAAATCTCAAGATATTAAAGTTTAAATGGTAATATAACTAGTGTGGTGAAATATAATCTTTGCTAAGCAACGAAAGAGTGATTAAGACAACTAAAACTGTATTTATCTCCATAAAAACCGAAAATTATATCTTTTCCTATACAACTACAAAACCACGTATATATAGGCAGATACAATCAAGTGAAGGGTTGAGATTGTTCCAATCCATCGGCTAGATTTGAACTTGGCCGAATTTCTAGAATGTTCTAAGCCCTAAAACTAATATTCTCAATGCTAGATTTCCAAGGGGCAGTATGATAAAGCTGTAAGTTGAATCTGGAGATAATGGAGGTGGAGTCATTATATGGTCGCGTCCCCTTATGCCCTCATGCAAACTCGATTAGAAATATACGCCAAAGGTTAGGGGGTGAATGAGGTTTGGTTTGAGCGGTTTTATGCTATATTTTCAATTTAAACTAGTTCACGCGATTTTGAATTTTTTGGAACCAAATCAAATCATTTTATTTTTTAAACCAAATCAAACCAAACCATAATTTGCGGTTTGGTTCGGTTTAATCCGCGATTTACCTATCAACATTATAGTAATATATTTAAAACAAGTTAACGTATACGTTTAAACGAGAACTAATAATATTAAATTTTAAATTATATTCATATTTCCCATAAAACCCATGAATAAATTGTTTTCAAATTTGATTGCTAAAAGATATTAATAGAATGAATACATATTTCTTCCTTTTTATTTACTTTTTTTGTTTGCTTTCACATTGTCACATAGTGGTTATTAAAGGCAGAGTCACTTTCCATTGCTATAATTTGGTTTAAACTCCTTTCGTCTTGTTAGTGAGATGAAAAATAGGGACTGGATAGGGTATGATTATATGTATAAAGATTGATATAGTTCAAACTTATTGGGAATTGATAAATTTCATTCTCTAATTACTTTAGGAAAGTAGAATGTAGTAGTATTAGTTAGGAAATTTGAACATTTTCGCATAGTCAAGATGCTGTCTTTCGTTCTTTTCAAACCACAAATAAATTCATTAATCATCTAGGCACATAAACAGTCATTTTTTTATTCAAACCACAACTTACAAGTATATAATAAATTCAAAAACAAGAAATAAAAGAGGAACAATGAAAAAATAGTTTGAATGAGAATTTGAGTCTTATCGAAAGAGATGATTTGGGTAGAAATAAGCAGAGCAAAAGATGACTATCGATTTGCTATTGGGAATTACATTTCGTTCAGTAGTGGCAGCTAAACGTCAAACATTTGAGCAATGAAAGTTTACTTTATATGATTATTTTAATGGGTTGATTGTAATTTGTATTGCTAAATTTGTATTTTTCTCCTGCAAAGTGAAAACTATAAAATTTATAAGTTAATAAAATAATTTTTTTAATTAAAAGAATTTATAAAAAAAAGGATTTTTTAATTAAATTTTTATTTTTTATTTTTTATATTTTGTAGCCCTGCCTAAGACTTATGTGTTGTGTTCGGTGTACATAATTTTATGTACATAAGGGTTTATGTACATAAAATTATGTACAAGTTGATTTATCCAAAACCTAATGTAAAACCCCATATTGACATGATTCAAGCAATCCATCTAATGTATATTATCATCCAAGCAATCCACCAAACATAAAATGGTACTATTATTTTGTCAAGATTCGTATGATTTGATGCTATACAATCGCCTTTGCCAGTATTTATAGAGATAATATTATGTGAATGATCTTGTTTGTCCATGTATTTTCAAAACAAAATTGCAATTTCTCAAAGAGTTCGACAAATTGTGTATTATTTGAAATATGATTTGGCATGCGAAAAAAAAAAAAGTTAAACTTTGTCTTTGGTTGCAAAGTGAGCATTTCTGAGAACGAGTAATTAAATGTCTATCAACCTTTTTGTTATACAAAGACAATAATTAAAACGTCCGTGTGAATATACTTAATCTTCGTTTGATTTTGCTTATCGAAAGTCAACAAATAAATTTATCTTACATTTCATGGAACCCTCTACTTTTATTTATCTTTCAACCACATAATTCATTGAAATTTAACAAATTCACTCAGGTACTTAGCTTTACATAATCAAGGGAAGGCTTAATTTTTCAATTACACCCTTTCTTACTTATCCTCATTTAGAAAAAGAAAAAAAGCTTTTTATTAATTTGGTAAGAGAGAAATTCAAAATTAGAATCTATTTCACTATTTTTCCCTCTAATTTCTTTTCCCTTATTGTATACGCAAATCAAAGATGAACTACTTTTAAAATTCCTTTATTCTTCGGAAATTAATTATTTTACTTAATCCAAGTTCCTTTTGACACAAGTAAAATGGATTTAAATTAGAAAAGCAAGACTCTGTAAGTTGATTGGGACAAGAAATACAGCTTTCAAAAGGCACGAATAAACTAATAATATACTAAAAATATCACTATAAGTCCTTAATCTAATTTCCAATTGACAAGTTGGTCTTCATTCTTTAAAAATGATAATTTAGATAAATATTTCATCATAATTTGTAGAATTAGTCTCAATGGATGAAATCATCCGAAGCTAGATTTTATTTTCTAACTGACAAAACATTTTGGAGTGATTTTCACCCTAAAAAATTGATTTTTTGATCGTTATTTTACTATTTCAGCAATACTTTTTTATTTCTTCTCTAAAAGGTGGTCCCCACTTTTCTCCTAACGTCAAAAAATTAATTTTCAAAATTATTACCGAACAGACTCTTAGTTCAGTACCTAGAATTTAGAATGACACATACTTTCATAAGGATCACACGTCATTGATAACTATTTCGCAAGTATAGAGACAAATTTGCCACATGGGCAATAAATCGAGGACCAATAATACAATTTTCCTCGTAGCTAAATAAAAGATGCTGATCTTGGAATCTTGAAAACAGGAAGAAATGGTTTTGGATTACTTTTACTTAATTTGCACGAAACTTAAAAACTTTTGCATTCATCTTCCTGCTTAATTATACATACATATTTATATATATATCGTCTATCAATTCTTTTCATAAATAATATTGTCTGGGGAGCAAATGGGCGACCAACAGAGGAAACGAGCTACAAGAAGCACTGCCTTGAACCATTTCGAGCAGGTTTTAATCTTATTTTCGTGATTCGATCATGTTCGGTTTTTTCGATAGATGTATGAATAAATTAAAGAAAATATGATAAGCATGCGCGTAATAAAATCTAAATTTATTGAGAATAAGATTTTATTTATTTATTGTGGTTATATATCGGACGTAAGACCATTAATGTTGGAATGATCAGGAGAGGAGTTATTTTGCTACTTTAGAAATGGCAGAAAGTGACGAAGATGAGTTAGCCACCTCTACTTCTGAATCTGATGATAATGTGGTTGATGAAGAAGAAGAAGAATATATGATGAGTGATGGCGATTTCTTTAACAGTCAAACTCAACGTAATAACATTATTATTAGTTAATTCTTAAATATATGAATTTAATTATTTATTTTGGTCATCGATTTTATCTTTAAATTATCATCTTAATTTGCAGCTGAATTAGGGTTCTTGTGGGAGGATGAGGAGGACTATAATTATGGCGATCAGGTCTCTCGAATTCAACAATATTAAGTAAAATCTTCATGAAATTATATATATATAATTTGAATTAAACTTTTTTTTTTTCAGGAAATTGAGGAAGATGATGTTGATCCAGATGAATTATCATACGAGGTACATAAGTATCAACACCAGAATTAATTAGCTCAGAAAAACTAAGTATAATTATAAATTTACTTTGTGCAGGAATTGATTGCTCTAGGAGAATCGGTTGGAGTAGAGAGCAGGGGATTATCAGAGGCTGAAATTAATGGACACTTGCATCCCTTTGCATGGAAATCTCTTCAAAACTCTCTTACTAATATTGATAAGTGAGTACTCTAATTGCTCCAAATTAGCCCATGTTTCATCGAGATTAAAGTAAAATTTTTAATAGATTTTGATAGAAATCGATGAAATTTGTAATTAAAAAGTAGGAGGTCCCCTAAAATGAGTGATTAGAATTAATTATTAACTTTTAATTTTGATTAAAATCTTGATTTTAATTTTCACTAAACAAGGATCATTTATTTTTATATCTAGATTTTAATTTTAAAAAACCCACAACAATTATATGAAAAAAATGCATTTAAGAAGGAAAAAAAATGAAAATATGGCCAATGTATAGGATTTGGGTTACACTAAATGAGGTTTAGAAAAAATATAGGAGCGACAATGTGAAGAGATATGTTAAGAGTAAAAACTGCACGTGAATTGGATACGAAAACAACGATCAATGTATTAAGATTTGCCATCCCAAGACCTAATTGGTTTGCGGGTTAGAACCCTATCGAGAAGGTAACATTATTATGGGTTATCTTTAATTTAGAGAGTTATGGTCCATTTGACATGATTTTTGAGAAATCAAAATGAACGTTTGAGATTTAAAAGTTTCTTTTGAATCCATTTGATCAATTCATAAAAGTTCTTTAAAGGAAGCTGGTTAGTGTGGCTTCCTCTTAATTTCATTCGAAAGATAAAACTCTTTTAAAAATTAATTTTTAAACTCTAATTAAAGTGACATCTTTAAAATCTTTTCTACAAGAAGTCGCATCAAATATAATTTTTTTACCAAACGAGCTTTATTAATAGAGTATCCACCCGTTTAGGCCTATTCCCTAGATAACAAATTTCCATTTGAGTTATTACATAGAGGGAGGGAATTTTTTTTCGAGGAGATCTAAACTTACAAGTAACAATTGCTTGAAGGAGAATTGATACCTTAATGCTAAATTTATGACTACATAGAAAAATCACACAAAACATATAAAATATTAAGCCCTGTTTGTTTCTCATTCTTTTTTCATTAAAATGAAAAATATGACCGTTATCCATCATATCAAACCACCATATTTGAATTTCTATCTTTTGTGTGGGGCCTATAACGGCTATATTTTTAATCTCATTTTTACATAAATGGGAAACAAACGGAGCCTAATTAATAAACCCTACATTTCTATAAGTTTTTCTATTTAACTTACTACCCAAAAACAAAAACAAAGGATTGTATCAAATTCACATAATTAATATATATTTTTGAACAAAAAAGGTGTGTGATATGCCAAGTAGAGTTCGAAGGAGGAGAAAAGCTTGTGGCGCTGCCTTGTGATCATCCATATCACTCAGATTGTATAACTCAGTGGCTTCAGATTAACAAGGTACGTAATTACACATATTATTGACTTGAACTCGTTCGAATACATATATTTAGTTCGACTCGATCCATTTTTTTCAAAAAAAAAAAAATTGAGAATAAAACAGTTTCACACTTATGATCATTCCAATTTTATTATTATTATTTTTTTATATATTAAGATGCTGATATTTTTTGTACATTATTTGCCTTTGCAGATTTGCCCAATATGCGGGAACGAGGTCTCATCTGACAAAAATTCAAAAAATGTATAGTGCTGTAAATAAAATTAAAAGAAAAAGAATCCCGTGGTGGTTTTTGTGAATTTCTAAAATTAATGCCGTGTATATACAGTAATTTAATTGCTTAATTATATAAACTTTCAGTACAAATTTGTTTGTTGCTTAATTTATTTCATATTGGGCCTGTTTGGGCCCTTTTTTTTATCCAAAAAATTGATTTTTTGACCGTTATTTCATTATTCCAACCATCATATTTGACTTCTTCTCTCACAAGTGGACCCCACTTTTCTCCTAACAGTCAAAAAATCAATTCTCAAAATCACTTCCAAACAGACTCATTATTTCGCGTATAGTCTGTAGTGTACTGGCTGAACCTCATTTTATTCCTTTTTTTTTTTATTGGTTGACAGACAATCTAGGAATTATCATTTTCTAAAATAAATTTATGAGATAGAAATCGAATTTAATTAGTCAATCATACAATTTTCTTTTTAACGATCAAGAATACATTATTCAATAATTAAATATAGAAAAATAATTTCTTTTAGGAAAAACAATCTTGAAATGTGTATCACTATGAAGAGATGCAAACAAATATACAAATATTGTATCTTTTTTCGTGGATTACTTCGAGTAAAAGCACTTTTTCTTCGTTCGATTTATACAAAAATTCTTTCTTGTAGATATTATAAATTTTATTGTTCTTGAATAAGTGAGAGAAGTAACGACAAATAAACCCTTAAAAGATTATTGTGGCTATCATCTAGAGTTCTTAGATTCCTACCCCCGTTTGGCCCCTATTATTCCACATTATAATGAGGAATATTAATTTTTTGGATAATGTGTGGTTAAAAGTGGAGGAAAAGTTTTTGGATTTATGTGTAATATTATTTTATTGGAGAATGTGTGGTTGATAAGAAAGAAAAAAAAAATGAATTATAATTTAATGAAAAATAATGGCAGCCAAACTGTGCTTTATTTTATCCGTGATACAATTTTCTATTTCAAAATTGATATAAGTCCTCATTGATCTCAATTTTCAAAAATTCAATTTTTCTCAAATTTATTTTCAATCACTCATTTCATGAATTCTTCAAGTTTTCCATTACATATTTTATTAACTTTTACCAAAATCAATTATAGAATAGATATTTATAAAAACCAAACAAGGCCTAGATAGAAGTTCCAGTTGGAATTGAGTTGTGCAGAGTTGATGAATTCAAATTTAGAGGCGCAAAAGTCGACAAAACGGTTGGTGGCTAAAGAAAATGAATAGAGGAATCATTAAATAACAACTTTTTGACTTGATTCATTGATTTGAAGCGAGAATTGATATTGATTTCACCGTAACACATTTGTTCTCCTGTATGTTCTTTCTCTATGTTTTTCAAAATTTAATAGCAACAATCAACCTAATGGATTTTATTTATTTATTTATTTTTTGGAATTGGGAAATTATTATTATTATTATTATTATTATTATTATTATTATCATCATCATCATCATCATCATCATCATCGACGAAATCAAATACAAAAGTTGTAAGAGAGGATATTGCGCCGGACCAAACACGATATGTTTACGAAATTGTTGGGAGACTATATTTTCAATCGACGCACAATCATACAAATAATCAAATTTTAAAAACTATAAATTTCATGAAGTCATTTGTCTTGATTAGTTTCTATTTGGTGTAGATTAAAAAGTTGATAAAATTTTCAAATCTGATTAGTTATAACAACCCATTTCATGGAACTTACAACTTTTATTAATTTTCAATCATATGTTTTATCAACTTTTATTAAAATATACTAAAAATATAGTTTTTAGCTATATTACATGGGCTTAGTATAAAACTATAAATTATAAGAATTGTCCAATTATTTTAGGAGGTTTTGAAAATTGAAAAATTATTCGGGGCTGTTCGAGCCCCATTTTTATTGAGTATGTATTTTGTAATAGATTTTTTTGGAAAATATATGATCAAAATTAGAAAAAAAAATATTTTGACTTATATGTAAAATTATTTTATTGAGAGAATGTCAGATTGAAAATAAGTTTAGATAAAAAAAGTTTTTAAAAAATGGAGACCAAACAGTGACTAAATTATGGTTAAAATATTTACCCTTTGCCCTCGTAATTTGTGAACCTAACATATTACACCCTTCCACAAAGTATAATTCATTTGCTTCCACTGCGGCACAATAATTTGTGAAACCTAATGGTGCAAAGTCAAACTCTTGGAAATTAAAGGATTCCGTGTGTAATTTATCCTAAATCTTAAATAGAAATTTATAATTTATAGGACTAAGGATAACGTTGACTAGGTCAGAAGCTCCTCTCGACTTTGTCTCTTCCAACGCATATACATATATTGATGTTTGTATATACACAGAGAATCAGAGAGAGTGGATAAGAGATATATAGAAATTAAACTAATGGCAGGATTATTCGACAAGCAGGCTGCGATATACTTGGATGCAAGGCCTACTTATCCAAAAGAGTGGTATTCCATGCTGGCGGAGCGAACCTCAAATCACTCTCTTGCTTGGGACGTCGGCACCGGCAACGGCCAAGCAGCCATCGGTGTAAGTTCATATTATCCGTCTTCCTTTTTATATTTTAAGTTTTGCTCTGTTTAGTTTAAATGATAATTAGCATTTTAGTAAATTTTGGTAAAAAATGATGTGTATATTTATGGTAGTAAATTTGTGGGAAGGCAAAATCATTGCAGACATTGTAAAGTGGAACCAGTTGATTTGATGGTCATGTACGAATGTTAATGAGTTGAGCCAGTTCGAGAGTCGAAATTCAAAGTTCGAGCTCGACTCGTGTGAAAATGGTTCATGCTTTTATTTATCTTAACTAAACTTTTGTCCAGTCAAAAAATATAGGCTTGGGCCTTATAGAACCGGGCCAACCAGAGCTCCAAAAATATAGGCTTGGGCCTTATGAAGTCGGGCCAATCAGAGCCAGTTCGTATTTTTTTTTCAAAAAAATTGAAAAAAGGCAGCCACGCAGTTCTGCCTGTTGAAATTTTTCAGCAGGCAGCTGTACCTGCAATACTAGGTAGCTACACCTAGCTATCAAAGCTTTTATATATATATATTTGCTCATGGGCCAACCTGTGTGGTTTGACTGACTCGGGCTCCGCTCGCACTTTTCCCGAGCTCAGCCACTAAATTTATATGTATAACATTGACAACATTGAGCTAAATTGACACTCCTATGCATAGTTATTGGACCCAACCCAATCATTGACCCAAAAAAATCATCGGGTCATTAGGTCATGGTTCAACCGAGGGATAGTGATTGAATCGTTGAATTGTTGTTAGTTCTTAATTTTAATGAAAAAATAATTTTTTTTAGAAATAAAAAGACTATGAATGTTATTTTATGTCATTTTGGTAAAACTAAATATATAAATTTGACTCACATTATTTGTTGCAATTCTATATGTACTATTTCGAGTCTTATTTCATGCAACTTTGATTTTAAATTTTGTTAAGTACTAATTTAATAAAATTCGGTTCAATTGAATCAATCTTCAGTTCTACTAAACCCTCCTGGTTTAGAACAAATATGAACCAGTTTGGGCAGTTCTTGTCAGGTTTCATTGTAAATGGATCAAAAAGTGTCAATCAGACGACATCAGTGTCCGATTTACCCCTTCTCAGGCAGAATCGGTTGGTCCAGTCCGATTTTAATAACTATGCTCCTATGGTCATGTATTCATTTTGGAATGTTGGGATTTTTTATGAACCATGTATTAGTGATCTTGAATAATCTAGTGTCATCTTAATATCAAACTAATAATTTATATATTAAGCCCATATTTAGTGGGAACTAAAATCAAAATTTTAATCTAAATCAAAGTCTTCCATAATCCTTCCTTTATGAAAGAAAGAGCTTAAAATTCTTTTTCCTTTCCGCAAGGACTAATAGATTGGATCTAGACATAAGAAGAATGCTTGGAATAAATAACTCACTTCTTGGTTTTCGACCCCTAAGTCACTACGAACGCCATCGATTAATTCAATGGGGGACTACCGATAGGACTACTTTCAAAGGCCCCTCGAGCTCTTTACTTTGTTCCATTCCTTTCCATATCTCTTTTCCAAGTTTCAACAATACATTACATAATATTCACAATTTTTCAATCATACATTTCATCAACTTTTATTAAAATCTACTAAAAATCTAATTGTAATCCCACCAGACAAGGGCTAAGTTTTCTTAGTTTATTAAACTCTAATTCTCCTCGTAATCTTGGCTGAGCTAGTTCCTTCTGAAAAGAAGCTCCCCTAGAACAAAAATTCATATATTTTATTTTGAAATTTGATAAGGAAAATATTAGTGTATATCCAATTCATACTATGGTTTGCTATCTAGTTGGTAAGGAAGTTGAAATGCTTCCAATCTACAACAAATAGGGATTTTAAGTCTAATTAGCCTCTAATCCATAGAATGAATTACTATCTAAGTGTTTTTTTTTTTTTAATATTAAAAATAAAATCACCTCTAAATCTAGAGGAAACGCAAATCTAGGAAGGAAATTTTAATTTTACTGACATAAAACTTCATTAGTAAAATAATGTCTTAATGAATTAATTTACAGATAAATTTCCATTTGTAAAAAATAATAAATTATTACTTAAAATGTATGTATACACAGATATATATATATATATAGACACACACACACACAATGCAATTCAACCTTCTTCCCATGCCTAATTTCTTCATTCTTTTACATGGTAATAGTTCCCATTAAATTTCATACCATATGCATTAAATGGTAACACTATTTATATGAAAATGAATATGTAACGTTTTAGGTTTCTCATCAGCAGATGAAGAGATTTGATTTTAATTCAATAAATAGAAAATTTTGATTAATTAGGCATTTAGATCAATTTAATTTAATGTGATCATCCGTGAGCTTAGTAATATCATGTCTCTGTTGGTGCAGATGTATGAGTTTCGTGGCAAAGTAAGCACTTAAATAAAAAAGCCAAGAGTATAACTTCAAACCATAAAACTACGTTCTTGTTGTTGAACCATTTTATTTAAAAAAAAATTAATTTGTAGATTAATGATATTTATAAATTAGATCTCCAATGCAATCCTTTACATGTAACTTGAATTT